AGAAGAGACGAATGCTAGGAAAAGTTGAAGATGGCAGGAAAAAAGGGAGGCCAAATACAAGATGGATTCGCTCACTTAAGGAAGACACAGCCTTGAGTTTACAAGAGTTGTGCGGGGCTGTTGACAACATAGGTTTTTGGACGACATTCATTTATAGGGTCGCTATAAGTCCGAAACACGTTGACAGCACATAACAGCATCAACGGTGTTAAATCCCTCCAAGAGAAATGATAACAGCTGCTATTAAAACAGCCAGGGAAGTAAATGTTTCTGTATCCAGCTGTTTATATATATAAGCAGATACATATATATAATGTACCTATCGTCAAGTTGTCTCTGACTCTTCGTAGCATGCTAAAGTGTGAAGGCAAGAGGAGAAGGGGACCACAGAGGACGAGATGGTTGGACAGGGTCATTGAAGCAACCAATGTGAATTTGACCCAACTCTGGGAGGCAGTGGAAGACAGGAGGGCCTGGCGTGTTCTGGTCCATGGGGTCACGAAGAGTCGGACACCACTTAACGACTAAACAACAACAACAACATCTATGTATATCTATCTTGGAGTCTAGTAAGTCTCTAAAACAGGAGTGGGCACTTTTTTTCCGGCAAGCATCAACCCCAGTCTTCAAAATCAGTAGCTGGTGATTCATTAATTCATTATTTCCATTGAACCCCTCCCTTTCTGCCCATGAAGGCAGGGCTTCCCTGCTTGCTTGAACAACCCTCAGAGGTAAGTCAGGCTGAAAGAGAGGGAGTGGCCGAAGGTCACCAAGTGGCCCAATGAGGATTTGAACCCGAATGTCTTCATCCCAGTCTGTTGGACACTAACTACTATGTCACACTCCTGTAATTCAAAAATGGCTGGAGAGTTGTAAGTGTCCATCCTGCTCTAAAAAGAATATACTCCGTGAAGTAGAACTGGAAAGCCAATCTTGTAGCTTCGTGCCTTGTTATTATAGCACGTGAAGGCCGTTTGCTGTTATTTCCAGACCTTTAGGACCCCCTGTCACTCTGTCCTGTTTTTCTCTCTCTCTTCGTCTGTGTCAGCCAGAAACAAATGGCAAGCCAGTGTCACCCAACCCTGTTTTTGAGACTTACCTAACTCCAGCACAGACATATATCATAGCTAGATAGGGAATCGGATTTGCAAAGGCAGATCACAAAAAGAGGCCAGGCTTGTTACTCATGGAGGCAAGACTGGACATGTCTGTGTTTTTGACCATCAAATACGATCAAATTCTTGGAAAACCCGCTGGGCAGAAAATCTCACCGCCTACAACCTGGGGACTGACAGAAGCATGTTCAAGAACTTTATGGTAGACAGAGCTTCGTCAGCAAACGGCGTAATCAGCCGGGCAATTAGCTGTCGTTTTTCAGTACTCCTCAAGGATTCCTGCTTTGGTTTAATTAAAATAAAATTAGCCCAAGAATTTAAGATGTTACAAAAGCATTTGGGAAGAGACCATGTCTAACTTTAAATGCCTTCAAATGTTCTGGAAGAACTTGACATTTTTGTGGTATGTGTGTGTACAGTATATGTTGTTATGTTCTTTCAGCGACCCTAACAGGATTTTCAAGGTAAGTGAGGTATTTAAGGAGTGGTTTTACCCGTTCCACACACCCCTTGTCTGCCACACTTCCCATTGTACCACATTGTGTGTATAGCATGTCTTCATTCACCTTCCATATGAGCCTACCAGGCTGTTAAGATCTTGCCAGGGGGCCCTTTTGAAAGAGCCATCCCTCAAGGAGGTAAGAGGGATGGCTTGTAGACAAAGGGCCTTCTCGGCAGCTGCCCCCAGACTATGGAACGCCCTCCCAACTGAAATTCGCCTGGCCACACCCCTTGTCTGCCACACTTCCCATTGCACCACGTTGTGTGTATAGCATGTCTTCATTCACCATAAGCGTTGTATGACAAGATAAAGTAGCTGGTGTCTCAGGATGGTTTTAGATGTACACATAATAACTGCACAGCATCAACGCCACATTTAATTCTGAGTTCTTAGGTCTCTCCTCCCCCCTCCATGTCACTAAAGTTCTCATTTCTCAGGGAAAAATAAAAAAAAATCTGGAGATCCCCTAGGGATCTCCTATAAAATAAGCATTCAGCCTTCACCTTACTGTGGTAAGAAAAACTCCACTGTTTAGAAGACTAGAAGTAACCAGAAAAGGCCATTACTGTCTCTGAAGGTCTGGGAGAGGGCAAACACCCTCCCCTCCCCACAGTTGATGACCCCTGGTTTAAGAGTTGATTGATTGATTGATTGATTGATTGATTGATTGATTGATTGATTGATTTGATTTGATTTGCACCTCACCCATCTGGTCTATAAGACCACTCTAGGTGGCAATTTCCCTGCTTGTCATTCAGAATTTGTTATCAATTCTTACTGACACACTTTGCAAAGAGTGCTGCTTTCATAGCTGCTTTTCCTAAAATCCACCCTACCCTTGCGACATTGAGTTAGACTACTGCAGCATTTTATGCATGGGGCTGCCCCTGAACACGATTTAGAAACACAACAGAATAGCTGGGCTCTCCTCCTCAGTCTAGAACTAGCTTGATCTGTAGACATGAACATGACAAAAACCATCTTCATATCTTACTTGGACAATTTCCAAGTATATTAGCACATATCATTAGACGGTGGATTATCAAGTCTGATCTGGTGAGAAGAGTCATATATTCTTAAGGAAGTAGTGTAACTGTATGGCTTAATAAGAAGCTGATGGCAGATATACCAAGATCCAAGTCTATAGAGCTTGTGTCCTGAGCACACTCCTGTACTGCAGTGAGTCCTGGATCCTCTGTGCACGGCAGGAGAGGAAGCTGAACACCTCCCTATGCGTTGCCTCCAACGCACTTTTGGCATCACCTGGCAGGACAAAGTTCCAAACAGAATAGTCCTAGAACGAGCTGGAATTGTCAACATGTATACATTACTGAAACAATTATGTTTGCATTGGCTTGGGCATGTTGTGAGAATGGCTGATGGTCTGATTCCAAAAGATCTCCTGGATGGAGTATGAGTGCAGGGAAATCGCCCCTGAGGGAGACCACAGCTGCGATACAAGGAGATCTGCCAGTGGGATCTGAAGGCCTTAGGAATGGACCTCAACAGATGGGAAACCTTGACGTCTGAGCGTTCAGCCTGGAGGCAGCCGGTGCATCACGGCCTCTCCCAATTTGAAGAGACCCTTGTCCAGCAGGCCGAGGCAAAGAGGCTGTCCTGAAAGCAGCAAAACCAGGGAGCTGGAAAGGGGACAGATTGTACTTGCCTTCAGTGTCACTCTTGAATTGGTCTCCTCAACCACACTAGACGCTGTCCCAAGAACTCTATTCAGAGTATGTTACCATAGTCTCTGAAGACTGAAGGATGCCTAATCTAATCTAAAGTGTAAATGCTATTGTAAATTGTAAGTACATGGCCTAGGATAGTTAAACACAGACTTTTTGGATTCATGCCATCCTGCAGCATCACAACAAAGCCAGCATTTTCCAAATTAAATCCTCTTAATGCAAGCACAGAGGTTTAATATGCCCTCACTGTAATTATGCTCATGGCAAGCACCTCAGATATTGAACCCGGACACGTTTCTTTGTAAGCCGCTGAAAAGAGTCCCCTTACTGCGGGCTTGCAGAGTCAAAATTTTAAAATGCAGATAGCTTTGGGCTGTGTTGTGCGCGATCCATTTTGGCGACCGCTTTCTGAAAAAGAAGAAGTCTGAATCAAGAGGAAAGAGAATGGGAACGGATTATTGACTCTTCTTTTCTAGCCAGTCTCTAACAAATCGCCAAGAGGCTTGTTCTCTGTCAAAACCTTTCTAATCAGGAAGAGTCTCAAGGGAACTGTCCTCCGTGCTGAACCGGCAAGGCTGTCACCTCCAGCCAAATCCAAGACAACCACCAGCATCATACCTGCTGATAAAGGACCAGCTGTTGGTCCACTTATTTATTCCAGAAATTATTTTCTCCTTGTTATAGGAAAACGTTGAAGGCATCCATGGAGACTGGCCTTGTGAAATGGTCTCCCTGAACACTGTCCGGGTTGTATCAAGGTGGTTTCTGATATTGGAGGGTCATTGGTGTGGAATTCTGTGAAGGACTTGGTAAGTGGATTTCATGCAGCTTTCTAGATTTCCACCTTCAGATTTCAGATGTTCCATTTGCATTTTTATTTTATTTTTTTAAAAAGAGAAAAAACAAACCATCGGACCCTCATCATCTAACTGGAGAGATTGGCTGCCTTTTTTATGTTGGGACTGTTGTGTGTCCTTTGAAAACAGCATTGATGGTCTTGAATATTAACCAAGGAAGCAATTTGAATAATAATAATACCATCGCTGTGTCTCAGGAAAATCTACAATCCCTCATCCTTCCAGTTATCAATAAGCTTCCCATCCAGGCAGGGAACTAAAGTTTTTTTTTTTTTTTTTGGAATGTAACATATTAGCACTAAAAATGACAGCCCATCTCAATATGGAGGGCCCGAGCCAAATTCAGTGGCCTCGGTCTAATTGTTAATCCCAACCAGAGCAGACCCACTGGATCAGTGAAACTTCCACAAAAGTTACTGTCCTAAATTCTCACCAGTCCAACCGATCTACGCTAAATAGGTCTCCTTTTCATGGTCTAATCTGGGGTCTCTGTACACAGGTTCAGTTTCACCAAAGGGATGAATGTTTAAAGTGCTAGCCCGTGCGAAAGGGGTGGGCTACTGAGACTTAAGCTATTCTCTCATGCATTTGTTATTTGTACCCAATACTCTGCTGACTTTAAAAGAAATTAGCCAGATTCTCCAATATATATATAAGCTTTTAAAACCTTTCTTTGACAGGTCATGCAGCATTAAAGACTTCCGACTGCTATGAATCTGTAGTGAGACTGTGTTTTCTCTGCTCTCCTGTAGACCCCTCCTGGTGCACACCCATTGATCCGTTTCCCATTGTGATGTTCTCTACGCTATTAGCTGGGTTGTGGTGGGTTACTCTTGGGATGGTAACGTCTCCTTTCCCAACGTCCTCTGCGGTCTTCAACGTCGGTCTGATGGGACCTTGGTCCTGTGACCCTTTCTTTGCCAAGGCGTTCCCCCAGATTGCAGCTAAGTTAGCAATGGAACGCATCAAGAAGGATCCGTCCCTCAGTGACATCCATCCAATGAACTGCACTTTATGCGATGAAGACTGCCGAACGGGCCAAGCTTTAGCCGGATTCATCAGCTACGAAAAGGACCTGTCAGCTTTCATTGGTCCTTTGAATCCTGGCTACTGTGACACTGCCTCCTTGCTAAGCAGAAGCTGGAACAAAGCTATTTTCTCCTGGGCATGTGTGAACGACGATCTGGACAACGCGAGTCACCATCCGACCTTTGTCAGGGCGTTTCCCTCTTCTACAGGCGTCCTCCTGGCAGTGCCGAAATATTTCCAATGGGCTCACGTGGGCATCATCTTTTCCCCGGAAGAACTTTGGGTGGACACAGCCAGTAAACTGGCAATCGCTCTAAGGAACCACGGGCTGCCGGTGGCTCTGGTTACTTCCATAGGGAAAGAAGAGGAAAACACTGAACGGATGTGGGCCAAGATCCAAGCTGCTGGGAACGTTAAAGGTAAATCTGGGTGGAAAATGTTCCTGTTGCTTCCAGAGAGATGGGAGTCCATAATGCGACACTACACAGTAACGGTTTAACGGACCTGGCCCCATCCTAAAGGATCCTAGAAGTTGTAGGTTGTTGAGGGACTTGAATTTCTCTGCTAGACAGTTCTAGTGACATCCTCTAAACTATAGCTCAGAATGCTCAATAACTGTGGGCCATTTTGGTTTGACTTCACCTCCCAGGATTCTCTGTACTGAGAGTTTCACATGCCAGACCCACACCTAAATTTTGCTCACCCAGAGAAAGACCCAGCTAAAAGTCTCCATGGCCTTTTGTTGTTGTTGTTTAGTCGTTTAGTCGTGTCCGACTCTTCGTGACCCCATGGACCAGAGCACACCAGGCCCTCCTGTCTTCTACTGCCTCCTGGAGCTGGGCCAAATTCATGTTGGTCGCTTTGATGACACTGTCCAACCATCTCGTTCTCTGTCGTCCCCTTCTCCTCCTGCCATCACACTTTCCCAACTTCAGGGTCTTTTCCAAGGAGTCTTCTCATGAGATGGCCAAAGTACTGAAGCCTCAGCTTCAGGATCTGTCCTTCCAGTGAGCACTCAGGGTTGATTTCCTTCAGAA